CTTTTCTGCCCAGGTTCTTGGAGAGCCGTTCAAGAGCAGGGAGAACCAGGTTGGATGGAGCAAAGTAGATCTGGGCCAGATCCTGCTGGGCCAGGGAGATACACGGGAATGCCATCATTACTTCTGCAGAGATAAATTGAGGAAAAAGTAAATAAATAATCAGGAGTGGGAGTATCTTGGTATCTTCCTACCCCCTTAGGAAGATGTTCCTAAAATGCTGGGAATCTCTGGTTTACATGAGGAACCAAACCACGTTTCCACTTGGTGCATTATTGGAGGCACAGGCCAGTTTTGCATCAGTCCATTGGACAAAAAGAGCACCTTGAAACCCCCTCCCCCGGTAGATGAGCATGTACTATGGACGTACACCTGCAGTGTCTCCAGCTAGGTGGCCCAGCCCTCTCTGGCTGAGAGCTCTGGGAGTTGTAGTGCCATTTAATCTGGAGGGGAGATCAGTAAAACATGGAGAGTGGCTTGGTGGAAAGATGGATGGGATTCGTGGGAGGAGAGGAGCCAGTGGGGACCTTCGTGTTTAGCAATAGGAGGAAACTGGGGCATTTCCTTTCTGCAAAGGGGCGGTGGCCGAGATTTCCAGCACTTTTTTGCACATCCAGAAGGGCCTGCTTGGAAGTGAGCCTGGCTTCCCCAAGGAATTGAAGTCCAATGCCCCTTGGTGGGCACCTGGTGGGGCAAGGCTGGGGCGCTCCCTTTACCCAATTTCTTGAAAGCCTGGCTGGACAGATCTGCAAGGAGGGCATTGTGCAGAGCCTCCAAGAAGGGCGCTACTAACTGAGCCCTTAAGCTAGCAGTCACCGCTTGGAGGGACGGGCAGTTGCACCAGGCAGCAGACACGACGATCCTGTTCCTAGAGAGCTGGGCAAGAACCGGACCTGGGGAAGCCAAGGGGCGGGCGGGCAGGCACAGATACTGAATCTCCACAGCCAGGACCCCCTTCCCACCACCCCCGCCCGCCTGGCCATAGAGATCCAGGGCGACTGAAGGATTAGTGCCGCCCTGGTGCTGAGATGCTCAGCATCTTAATGACAGAAGCCAAATTCCGTTCCAAGCCGGGATGGGGGGGCCGGGCTGACCAGATCCGCTTTCTCCCATGGGCAGCCTGGCCTCATCGCTCGGAAAGCCGCTCTCCTGAGAGTGTATTTTGCTGGATTGGTCGCGAGAGGGACCAGACGCAGCTCTCCAAGCCTCCCCCCCATGCCAAAAGATGGGCGGCCAGCTCACAGCGGGAGGCTACCCGAGGGTGACTGGGCTGCGATACTCTGGCCGGTCATGAGATGCCTGTTTGCTGGGGGGAGGGGTGGCAAAGCCCACCGTCCGTTTCTCCCTCCTGCAGTCTGATGCAAAGAAGGAGCGCGAGAGCATGGCGGCGCTCCCATCTCCCCCACCTCCTTTGTGTCCTCAGAAGGTACCCTGCGCACCGTTTACGACGTGGGGCCCAATCCACCACGCATCCTCCTGCACAGGCGGGCCCTGCTGGGTAGCCCAAGAGCAGCTGCGCTGCATGAATGGGAGCGTTGGAGCCATTCGGTCCACTCTCAGCCTGCGTCGAGCTTGTGAAGGTATTCGCCTCCTGATAAATGCACCAATGAGGCGTTCGGTTGTTTAAAAAAACCCACATTTTATTTTTATTTTCACAAAATTGAGAAGTTGTGCTGCAGGAACAAATGTTTTCCCCCTCCCAGATACAGGACCAGACTGGAGAAAAACACCAGACAAAAGAAATCTCCTGTTTCTCATGTGTACAGAAACACAATTGTGTTAATAATTCACCACACATACACTGCAGGATCCAGTCAATAGTAGAGTAAAAAAAAGAGAAAGTTCTCCATTTAGAACCTTTACAATCAAAGAAGATCTTACTAAAAAGAGCCTGAGGTGATCAGTCTAAAAGGACCATGTTCAGAATTGCAATTCCATGGTGCTCCAAGGCAATGAGGGTGGGAGGTGGGG